GTGAAGAAACAATCAAACTCTTCCCAACTTGAACTGCATTCACTACAAACGAAAATTTCATGGAGCATAACAACACAATAATTTTACCCTAAAATACCAGTGACTACGCAGTTATCAAATCCCAGCACATTTTTATTAACCAAGATTGATGCAACCCGAAAACCAATGTTATTGGGAGTTGAGATGACTTGGTGTTAAGGTCTTTCAGCGGATTTGGGGACAGGTGGATTAGGGAGCTGAACAAATCTTGCAGGATTTTCACATCTAAAGAGATATAAATATTTGAAAAAATTATGTCCCCAAAGGTGAACTCATAGTAATAAGGACTCATTGGTTGCCTAGTTACCCCCGTCAGATGCTAATTATTAGCCACACATTACCTTTAGTTCCATCCTTTGTAATAAGTAACAAAATTACTTTCCTAAATGAAATAATACAATTTAATCTGGTAAGTCTGTGGCCAATGCGTTAGTCTTCTTGATCATCATTAACACTCGGTTTTTGATGACATTCGTAACTCCAGTGCCACTACTTATTAACTTCGCATCGTCAGAGCAAAACCATATATTACCATCGACCAGAAAATCGACAACCATTATTACCAAGCTAAGTAACTCAATATTGCTTTATAGCACTAGTACTAGAAACAGATGAAGGCTGTTTGCATTCCACCCTCCAAAAAAAAAGTTTAAGAAGACACCATTATGCAGAAATTACAAGCAATAAGAACCGAACTTATTGAAAAATAATTCACGAAAATCAGAAATATTTTCATCAAGACTTTTAATGAGGGCAAGTACTGACATCCATTTTAGTTTATTCCACTGAAAAGCCTCTCATTAAAAAGAGGTTTTGAATAGAGTAGAAATGTCTCGTTGGTTGGGTCTAACTTTTAACTGCACTCTTTACTGCTTATCCTACACGTATTTTTGATGTTGACTTCATGACCAATGTCCAGCAGACGTTGTGCTACTGTACTACTGACGCTATCCAGGTCTCTGAGATGTAAGTTTCTGCGTGAAATTCCAGTAAAACGAGTGGAACCCCGCCTTTAGATACCCTTGATGTACTTACTTTATGCATAAATCGGTCAATTCAGTATGAAATGACATGAGGTGAGTACTAATCAGTCCGTCTGCACTTCTGAACCATGTACATCGCATAAGAATACTAATTTAGTGTCAGGGAACGTTCCAATGAATGTCTGTTTTAGCCTTTGGTTAAAATTGCCAGCGATAAGACAGTCCTTGAAAACAGACTCTTGTCTCATGTACCGATTTGTCATCACCTTAAGTAATGATCTGAGGGAATTTGAGTGCTGACAGTTGACACTTCCCGGCTACCCACACCGAAAAAGTTATTTCCTCTTGAGGTACCTGAAAATATGGATTAGCAATAGTGGTGCGTGACTGAACAGCTCAAGAGACATTTATCTGATGTCTGTAATACTACTTTTGGAAGTTAGAGATTTTATTTTCTTACGAACTAGGCTCTAAACTTATACCGCCAACACCGGAAGACCATAGGGAACGAAGTTTTTAATCCCCTTCCCCTTCCCATAGAGGAGGTAGTGTTAGCGTGGTGCTGGTCATTCAAGGGAAACACCTTACTGCTGTCACACCCCCGTCCAGCCAGCAGTATGACTTCACCCTCAGACTCCCATTATCGTATAGCAACTTACAATTTAACCTTAACTTCTTTTTGTTTTACCACTAGCCAACTTACCCTTCTGGTACCATAGGACCTCAAAGGAATAAGCGTCCTACCACAATAGCCCACTGAGTTATCATGATAAGCAAACCCGACCATCAATTCAAAGTAGCGACTGTCGGACAGGCATTAATCCATGAACTCTTTGACTGCTGGTCTCAGCCAAGTAGGGGAATGTAGACTTCCCAGCTGGGGTCTGGATGACAAGAGAAACCAGTTGTTAGAGACTCTAGTTAATATAGCTCGGAATCGATTTCAGTGGCGTAGATTTATCCACACATTACCTTAATTATTATGCTAAATTACAGTATTCTCCCTTGCTCTTTTACGACTTTCTATCACCTTTGACTGTTTTCCTCGTTATTTCTCTATCTTTCATTTTGGCACATCATGTCTTGATGCGCTATGTGTGGCAACTTGGAACACTACTCAGGTGCTATGTTAATATTGTCTGTTTGCAATCTTAAGCTATTTTGCTTTTCGGTATATGCAACATTTATAACTCTAAAATCTTTACAAACCTTTGAAAGACTCTGAGCAACCACATACGTCTTCGATGATTCACACAATGATTTATACCTGTTGTGTGAGAGCTAGTATTACTACTTAATAGATGGGGCGGGGTTCAAACCCACAACCGACCGGTTAAAAGTCAACTGCCTAAACCAATGAGTCACGGCTCTATCTCTATAAAAAATTGCTACTTCTCATCATCGTTTTATTGACGGGTTAATCGACTTTCAACTCTGTAGTAAGATTACATTTATCCGTCTCCTGGTCCATTCTGATTAGCTGGTATGTGAGAAACCGGTGATAGTTTTGCTCTTCTCAAACAGTAAAGTGCTTCTGTCAAAAAGGCGCATTGGCTCAAATCTGAGCAAAATATGTGCTGTTCCGCAAAGAAACTGGTCTATTTTCGTCAGAACCTCTTAGCGGAATATTTTTTTACGTGAAATTCAAAACTTAGATGATAACATACTTAGTTTCAAGGCTGATCAACTAAAAACGATAAATTAAGCTAGCATCATTCCTATCCACACCCGACCTGACACAGTTTAATCTACGATGACTGATGAGAATACCTTACACAAACCAACCGTTTCGCACTTCAATATTATGGTTTTTAGGAAAGATACTAGCGTATCGCAAATACGCTCATCGAAGTAGATAAAAGGGTTAGCATTACTAAACCAAAGATAAAACTGATGCTATTTTTTGACTTGGTCAAGATGTCTGAACACATTAACCAAAACTACTTTACATCCAACAATAATAAACTAGTTTCATACCAAACAGCTGTCACATTCCCATGATCACTTGCGCAAATTTTAGGTGAACTATTCATATTTAGGCACAATATATCTAATCGGACCCACTCAAATTTAAGCGTTAGAGCCTATTCTTTAAAGTTCCACTAAAGACTCAGCCACGTTACTTTTTTTTCAGGTACAATTTTCCGCATTTATAAATCGGATGAATCCTCAGGCACTCTAAGGAACAAATTATCTGAATCGGGAGATTTAGTCGAAGACCTGAAACCTGACGTAGTAGCAATTACGGAAAAATAGTTATTAGAAGGTATATATCTTACATCACTTATACCAGGATTTACATGCATAAAGATGGATAGAGTCATGAGTCGTAAGGACGGTGGCACAGCATTATATATTCGGGAACGCATTAAAGTACTCCACATGTTAATCGAAGAGTTCACAGCTACATGTCCATATAGCTACTTCGATATCGAGTTGCTACTGACTACATTCAAATGTGCTCGGTACAATGTACGCGCTTTAATCAAAAGCATGGGCTTTCACTGTCGGATCTAGTCTTTCCTCATCAGTGCGAGGATCTGAGTGACCTCCGGCACCTCCTGTGGCAGGCAAATAGTGACTATTTAGTTCTTGCTTCCAAAATCAGAACTAACAACTTGTTTTATAAAGCAGTCACCTCCAGACCAAATATCTGGCGTGCAGACTTGACCGTGATTAGGGAAACGGTAGTCTCAGTGAACTGGTTTGTCAATACAGAGTGGGCTTCTTCCAAGTTGGTATCTATCATGGACTGGTATCGTTTGGAAGAACATTAAAAACCTGGGAGAACTGGACAGCTGTTTCATCCTAGCATGGGACTCCTTAGCAGTGTGCACTCGTGATCCCGCCTCATCAAGGATCGATTCCAGGACCCTCAGGTTCAGTGGCCAGATAGATCACATTGCCATAAGTGATCGTTCGAGGATTACCGCGCTTTCTTGAGTATCAGTTTGAACTCCGATCACACAATAGCATACGTTCGTATATATCTGAGCCTTACTGGTCACAGAAAAAAGGCGACAGTAAAACCTGTCTACGCTCGATTGGAGGGTGAGGCCACCAAGCATTCATTGAAGGGGACAGCAATGTTCATCCTGAGGAAATCTGATGTTAAATTAAGTCTGCTGTGAAAATAACGATAAGGACAGTTGATAACCAACACCCGAAGGTTAGTAAACGTCAGCGGATTTCCACAACACCATCTAGACTGATTTATGCGAAAAGATTCAATTCAGCTGGCTGACCACAATGAAGAGCGAGAGCAGCCTTAACGTGAGTTAACTAGGAGTCTTCGCAATGATAGCCAGCAAGGTGGGTGGTGAGAGCGAGATGGAGAAGGCATCGGCGGTTAGTAATACTCGGCAACTATTTAGGCTTATTAAGGATACCGGCAAGAAGAAAATGATTGCTAGTGAAACCATCACCGAAGAGGATGGGACGCTGACAACCTCCTACGACAGGCGGACGTCAGGACGTTGGGCAAAACAATTTGAAGCAAAATTTAACTGGCCCACCACAACGCTCCAGTTGTCCAACATACAGCCTGGACTTGAATGGGATATAGGTGTCGGTCCTCTAATTTTCCTGAAGTTTAGAAGGGTGCATCGAGTCCAAGATGACGCAAAGCAGCAGGACCTGTTGGTTTGACATCCGAAGCTTTCAAGAAAGGGGGTAGGAAACTGTCAATTATAGTGACGGAGGTACCAGGTAGTTTATGGGGATCGTGACAGTAATACTGAAATACTGCATACCATAAAACAAACAAACACAGGAATAAAGAGGTGGTTTGAGCTGCGTTCCCTGTCATTCAAAATCACACTTGAAGTGGCAATAGTGTGAGAGGCTGACTTTTTTCCCTTTTAGGCAACTGAAAGAATAATTACCCCTATGCTTTTTCACAAGCAAGCTCGTTAAATAAACTCCCCTTTAAGAGTAGAATGTCTCCAACAACTAACGACTTGATACTAGTCAACTTACGTTTTCCCCGAAGGAGGACTGCTGACAGGGGTTTCACAGACTCATTCCACAGAACTAGTGCGGCAAAGCTAAAAAAGTGTCATGTTGGAACCCACAAATATGTATTAGTTTAGATTAGCACGGTACAAGTGACATCACCCAAAGCGTTCGTCTGTCAGCTGCCTTTTGGGATAACAAATTCTTTTGCGTCAGATTCTTTGTACCCAGTGAAAAAATTGAAAAAGTGCACACTGAAAGTCCAACCTACTGTGGTAACATAAGGACTATCAGACATCGAAAACTAAATATGGCGCGCAGGCGAAGGAGCAATTTCAACAAATCAACTGCCTTCCAGCTAATTGCACCTCCTTCTCCTTATATACAATCAATGAAAAACATTATACTAGTGAGAAATACTGATTTCCACTAAACTATCTTCCATTTCAAGTGGTAGTAAGTGACAGGATTTCAAAACATCTGGAAAGAATGAAGCCTTTCGCAAATTGGCTTTTAAACAACAGCTGCATTGCCCTGAAAACCGTTGTCTGCGTCGAAAAATCATATTTCTTCGGAAAAAATGACTTTGGCACACGTAGTTGAATTTTCTAAAAAAGGTTTTCCCACGAAAGCCAATTGTGTCTTTTACTTGCAATGAAGTAATTTTTGACGAAAGCAACACGGGAACTTTTAGGTCATGATTTTTTCGTAATTACTCACTTAATAGCTCGGACTGCCTGTTTTCTGGTATAAGCATCCTTTTCCTTGCTTTGCTCATTTTCGAATATATTTTATTTGGCGTCGGGACCCATGGTAATAGTTTTTCTTTATCCCACTGATGATAATATTTATTCTTAAATATACAGGCACACACCATTTTTACAGGCATGAATAAGTTTATATACAAATATCATTCATCTTCATGGAAGGTAATCTGAATCCCTACCCGTTGTCACTATAAGATATAAGTGCTGCCTGTTCATATAGTGGAACATCCCAGCAGAATAAGTGTGCAGAAATTTTACAAGTTGGACAAGTGGAAGTATTGTCTTCGCATTAACACAAAAACAGGTTTGTATCTAGACAATGCAGGTATTACCTGGAGAAAAATAAAGCTTGAAGCTAACGCTTCCAATGTAACAGTTTGTACTTTTACAACTCTCGTGTCACATGCTGTGTCGAGTTTAATTTGAATCTCTGGGAGGTGAACAACTCGAAGATTTGCAGAGATTCTTGCAGTATGCCGATGAGCAAAGTACGATGGCCTCTGGAGTGCAGTCCAATAAATACGAAACGTGGTGCAATGATAACTGAGGGAACATTACTCCAGTAGCATACAAAAGAAGATCTTCAAAGAACTAGCACTTGGCTTCTCCTGTCTTACTCTACGGCCATTATTAAAAATGAATAGATTTTTTATTCGCAAATTACCAGTTCAACATGACAGAAACTGGTTTACATGCATCATCAAATCGATAATGGCAGAGAAATTTCCGATAGTTGGGCTGTCCTGAATGCCACAGAAGGTATCGCGTCAAGGTTTATCATGATATCAATAGTGACTGCAGCTTATGATAGGAACAGGAAAACACCACTTCTCAGTACATACACGTTGTTTATGAGTTTCGGTCGTTTCCACCCACCATTCTTTTCTCACAATAAAGTGGCACCAAAACCGCACAATATTCGACGTTTGCGTTACATGTGACCGAGATGGTTAACCTGGTGGCATAGTTCTGTTTCGTCAGAGAAACGCTCGTTTTAACATCAGTTGTTCACATATAGTATCGTCGGCTAACAAAGTCTCACTTCATCTATTTTAGGTAACAGTAAGTGTTAGCATAACCACATGATCCACTTGAATGTAGAAGTCCACGCATTTCCAACCCGTAGTGTGACCTCACACAGCAGTGCAGATGTAAGTCATGAGAATTAGTTGCTGCGGTAAAAAGAAATAAACATCTGAAGGACTATTATCCAATGGTGATAGAGTTTTGCACATAGAATTCACACTGAAGCATTATCAAGGGGGTATATTGACTGTTAATTGTCCTCTATCAGACGGGGTCAAATGAGATAAAGTACTGAAAAAGTTTGTTGTATGAGTTTGTTTGCGGACGTGTCTCATTTTGAGTCACTCGGTGAGTTTATTTCTTAGATTTAGATGTTTTTCAGATTCTAGCTCCCACGAAGACCATCCAGAAGTCTTAAACCATCTATTGTAGTCCAGTTTTCGTGTACGGTAGCATCTAGGACGTTGGTACCTTGACGAGTTTGCTGTGGAACTTCTCAGAAAGTTGGAAATCAATAGGGAAAACCCGCTCGCGAATTCTTTTAATAATTTCTGGTACCAAGTACGAAGCAGTACGTTGAGTAGGCTGACATTTCCGGTCAAAATTAGACTCAGGGTTTTCCCTCTAAACTTAAACTGAAAAAAGAAAGAAAAAAGAAAAGTATAGGCAGAAACCCGAAAGCGATATGCCGCACGAGACGAATCGGGAAGGGAGAAGCTCCTGCTTTCTTGGAGATACCGGAGTTATACGTACACTTTGATTTATGCATGTAAAACCAATCCTCATGATTTTCTTGTGTAAAGTTCGTACAAGTTTTAGATGTACTGTGCCTACTTATAGACGTACCAGGAAAACTGGCTGCACATCAGGGTGATATGTGCTTTACTAATGTGTGCTTTACTGATCACACAACGTAAGCTAGTGGAACAGTGATCAAACACCCTGCCCAAAAATGCCTGAGTCCATTAGGGTAAAAGTACTTGGGGTTGGTGATAGCCTTACTCTACAGGTTCACAGGTCCTGGTATGTTTCCATTAGACCACAGCGTATACATAGTGACGAAGCGAGTGATAGGCTCATCATATGCGAAGAGCCTAGTAAGTGAGGAGCGAAAGACAGATAGCGAACCCACAGTGCGTATCTCCTCAGAAAGTCTATTCCAGATATGAGAGAACTTAATGAGGAAGAAATTACCTCGCATATTGGTCCTACAGCACTTAGTTTTAGTTGGTAGTCTGTGATCACTTATATCGCAAGCAGACATTACAACTATCCTAATTTCTGGGTCGCATGAGTGCATTTGCTTACGAAGTGGTTTATAATGAACTGTAAGATTCATTCTAAGTCTCCTCTTCCAGAGAGAGAGGGAGAGAGAGCTTCCGGTCCTGGCATGTTGCATCTGGAAATAAAGCCAAGGCTGAGGTCAGCTCCTAAAGTCCTCAATGTAAGGTGGCGTTGCACCCCATCGACAACTGAGCGTTTTTCTTGGGGTTAAGCGGATGTATGCTTTGTAGAGTAGGACCCTCCATTCGGCCCCATAAAAGTTATGAATGCTACACCCTAGGAGTCTGCGTGACTTATTTTCGCAATACGCCGCCCTCTGGGAAGATGTAAAGTTACTGGAATGTCTGAGCCTTAAGTCTGAGACGGAACAATGTTTTGGTGACAGTTGTCCATGTACTTCAAATATCGAGTCAAGGTCACTGTTTCCAATACGAATCTATCCGCCCTTGTCGGTGTTGAACTGTAGAAGGGGATCAGCACACCGAGAAGAAAGCTTTCTGGTTCATGTCGAATGGCAGTCATAGTGTTACCTGGCTCATGGCTATAACAAAAGTAAACGACTTTTAGGTCGCTGGCAAATAGAAGAACATCACCTGTGGCAAACCGGTTGCGAACACTGTTAGTGTAGATGATAAACGAAACAGGCCCGAGAAAGCTACCTTCCACAACTCCAATTGTGATGCACTTCAGAGTCGACAGAAATGAACTGATCTTTGCTATTGGGGTGCGATCACTGAGAAATGATTTTAGCCGGCTCAGTAGAGGGTTGGCAATACCTAATGAGTCTAAATTTTCGAATAGTATATTCAGCAAAACCATTTCAAATTCCTTCGACATATCGAAGTACAGTACGAGGACTATTTGCCTGCCTTCAGACTGCTGGTGATAAGGTTGAAGAAGCCGAAACAACACATTTTAGGAATTGTCTTCGTGCGAACCCGGCATACACAGAGGCCAATCATTAATTATTCGAACCCGTTGTGTACCCACGAATACGAGACCGAGGAAGAACACAATAGCGTCTCTGGATGGAATAGTATATTTGGATGGTCGTGCCAAGATACAGATGCGTCCCAACCGACTGGCTCGAGAGAAGACTACTAGCGGCGCAACGTAACACGACAGCGTGCCAAATGGCGAGGATGCTTGACCAGGTGCCTTCAGCTTAGCGAGTCCAGCTGAACCGTGATGGTAAGCACCAATGCTGAGTCCCGTCAAACCCTAGGCTATTGATTTTGAGGAAGTGTCTGGAGCTACAGGTCACATCTCACCTAGTGGGTTCATGAGGACCCTAAGACGATACCAACCGGAAGTATGAAACAGTGGTTTCCCCACTGGTGGAACTCTTCCGATGGGCTCACTGCAAGGAGTGGCCCTGGGCGTCTGAACTTATTGTAGGGTGTCGTGGCGAATGAAAAATAAAGTGCAGTAAATCGAACTGTATACTGATCGCTGTCCTCAGCTTCCTTTGACGTTCCGTCCAGTGATCGTTGCACCTGGAATACAAATAAAAGTCTTTAGTACCACGAAAACGTTTCGTAAAAATAGGAATTATTTATATATAAACATATCGAAATAAGGTTTGCGCCCATTTGCTATTTAAAATGTTTCATCAAGTGGCGGTGGTAAAAATATGACTTAGAAATGCAAAATGTACGGGGACTTTCGCATTCCCGGTAAATAATAAAAGTGGCGCCCCGAAAAAAGGGTGAATTCAAAAAATATTGTTGGCACATCTTATTTCATGCCGCTAAGTTGAATGTGGCTTCAAATACTCCAGGAACCTGATGGTTCCACCTGAGCGCGTATTTGGTTGCGCCGATGGTTGCTGCAGCTGTGCGTTACCAGGCGCATCGTCAAGAATTTCGATAATTGGGCTATCCACCGTTCGGCTATAGCTGGTTGAAACGTCACATATAATGGGGATGCCTTCGAAATAAGCAGGCTTATAACGGTCGATAATAACAGCATCCTCATTCCCGTTTCTCCCAATCGTATAGAATTTCTCATGCCAGCTGATCACTTTGAATGGTCAGTCGCAATGTGGTTCGAGATGCCGGTGAACGGCGAGAGGGACTGGCCCTGGATAGTTCGTGATAGCCACCACCTTATCCCTCAGTTGGCGTATACCCTTGTTGTTAATGGCATGCCCAAGGAAGCTGAGCGATTCACCTCCCTCTTCACATTTCCGCAAGTTGACTGTGATGCCATGTTTTTTAGTCCTTCGAATACGACGTCCAAATGTTTAACGTAAGTTTCCTTA